GTTCCAGTGATTGGCTAGTGTTGTGTCACATTTGCAACAGGGTCGTTTTAGAAAAACAAAAACACTCACACATTTGTTGCTCKTGTTACTAAGCAASGTTTTTCAGGRGATCTGAACAAGTGTGAACGGAMCTCACAACGAGATATCTCTACCAGGGGTARTAAATGTATCATCATCATCATAAAAGGAGACTGAAACAACTGCGTCACCTTACCGAAGTGGGTCATACTGCAGGGAAAAATAAATTCGTCCCAGAAAGTCAGCTTCACAAGGTGCCTTGAATTCTTCCACGGGTACTGCATTCCTCAAGTCATATGGAGCTGCCATTTCGAGTGGAGAGTCAGCCTAAAACGGTTGAAATTTAGCATGMAAATCACAGATATCTCCCTAATGGTTATACATCATCACTCCATAACGCGAAAGAKAACTAGTGAATAAATCAAATTTCGTCTTCAGCATCTGAACTAAATGAAATGCTGCGCGGCGTTTAATAACTGGGRTTGAGTAATTAATTTTTATAGAAYCTATACCTCTTCTTCCTCGTCAGACGAGCTTGATAGTGGGTCATCCCCCTCCTCTTTGTCGTTGTCCAGYGGCTGGACTGACACTACATTCAACTCAGGTTTAGGCGTCCAGGGGGGTGCAGTTTGTTTAGCATAATGTTTAAGTGGTCCTCTTTGGACTTGACGTAGGACTGGTACTGGTTTATCTTCATCGTGATGACCGTTTTCTATGGGTAACTTTTCTTGAGTTATCACATTGTTCTCCTCCTTGACGTCACTTCCGGTGGACACTTCTTGGTAGTCAAGGAATTGCTCACGTAAGGAAAGGTTCCTAAATCGTCTCCAACAAAGCATTGACAGCATTGCCATAGCGACCAAGCAACAGCCCACCAACAGAGTTATCAAAAGCGGAAGCAGATGTACATATTTCTARAAAGAGAAAGGTTACTTGGCCTTATTATGTATATAGCTAATTATCATACCATTCGCGCTAAAATTAGCTTTCAAAGTARGCTGGTTGGCTTCACTTTCGTATAGAGTTCTAAGTTCGAGACGGTTCACACTTTGACATAAGTACAATCACAAGCTAATTCTCACTTTACATAACAACATAAGCATGAGCATCGAAAGACTACTTGATTTTTYAACATAGCCAGAAGCATAAGTGAACACAAAAGATTTTATTTTCTAATGCTTTTGCTGATGCTCCTGATGTCGAAATGTGAAGATGCTTTTGATTTAATTGAAATGGTATGATTTAAGATTTATCATTCTCAAAACGTCAGCATATCTAGACTGTTTTTGAAATTCCAGTACAAAAGGCGGGAATAGCCTCGAATCTATGTTTAAATTAATTGTTTATTCCAAATTGTTTTTTAACTTAGAAGCGAGGCTATTCCCGCTTTTACACACTGTATTGGAATTCCAAGAATAGTCAATATAACAAGTATAATTGTTGGTATATGGTTGCAAAACATTCATGACGTTATACGGTATTTTGGAAAAAAGATTATCTATGTGTCATAGTGACA